AGCTGTAATGAACTCTTTAATCAAAAGTGAGGGGGAAAAAAATCCATGTTTTGAAGACTGGAAAAAGGAATACTATAACAGTGCAAATGGCAAACATGATCATCTCATCTGAAGAAGTGGACTGTGCCCACAAAAGCTCATGATACTATACATATATTTTTGTTAGTCTCCAAGGTGCCACAGGACTACTCATTTGTTTTAAGTTGTTTTTAAAGTTACAGACTAACATGACTACCCCTCTGAAATCATTATGCCTGTATATTGTAGGTAATATACTACAGTATACAATTCTTTAGCAATAGCACTACATTTAGCTGTACACTGTACGTTAAAGTCACAAAATTAATATACAACATAATCATAATTAAAATTGAAATTTTTCTACATTTTTCATTCTATTCTTCAAGTTATTTTGCCCTTTGAATGACAAAGTTTTGACATGGCAAGTTAAAGTGTGAACAGGATAGAAGTACTTCGTTGGCAAAAGTGCCAACAAACAGCATTCACATAAGCTAGCTTTTAGCGACAAGGCTGTGTCAACACTGTTTTGTTGCTAAAAGCTACATAGTGTAATACCTTTAGTTTTCCTCATGGTCTTTGTCCTGTAACTACTAGTTCTTACGCTGTCTGGTCAACGTAACCCACATCTCATCATCTCACATAACTCCCTTGGTTTTTCCACAATGGCTACTACCTGAACTATGGCTCATACTGATTCACTGTGTAACAAACATTTTCATTGTAGCCAATGTCCATCTAAGCATTATTATTTCAGCAGTGTGAAGTGGCTGTTCTCTCTCCCTCACTGGCAAGCATCCCAGAGCCCATACCCCCAGCCAGAGTCCTTACCCTCTGCATCCCAACTCTCTGCCCCAGTCCTGAGCACCCTCCCACGCTCCAAAACCTCCACACCATCTATGTGCAGAATAAATTCTGTTATGTGCATCTCCACATTGGTGCACATAACATTAATTCCACACACGGACATACAAATTAGAGGGATCACTACTGCCCATGAGCCCCCATGTCCAGGGGTTACTACAGGTAGAAGAGAGTTTCAGATTCCAAGCTCCTTGATTCCATATTCCTTTTAATCCAGGGGCACTCCTGACCAGTCTCAGAAGGGTCTCAGGTCTCCCCAAGTCTAGTTGAATTGCTCAAGGACAATACCCTCCACCACCTCCATCCCAATATGCCTTGAGGGATTAGCCAGGGCTAGAAATAATCATTGAGATGTTGGGCAACTGCCTGAGGCTAGCCCCCCAGCAAGTACTTTTCCATCTGGAAGCCCTGGCGGTATGTCTCTGGGAAACATCAGAACAGTTCAAGATGGTCACCTTGACCTTACAGTAAGCTTGGGCATTCACGAGATCTAGTACCTTACAGACTGCCTGGGCTGACCTTATTAGACAAGGGGCCAAGAGGATGGCCCAGTCCTCTAGTGGCCATGCTGTCACAATGGCCATACATTCAAATGTCAACAAGAAAGCTTCAGGGTCATTCCCTGGGCCCATTTTCATCACCTTGACCAGGACTCCTGGCCCCGGGATCCCTCTAGAAGACCCTGGCCCCAGTCTAGCAGCAGTCTCTGGGGGTTGTAGGAGCACTACAAACTGGTGGATCAGATATTGTTGCTGTTGAGTGGTTGGCTCTTGTGGGAGTATTGCTGCTGAACTGCTTATTGCTGGCCTTGGGAGGCCAGCTGTTGTAGTATTTGATTCTGTTGCTGCTACAGCTTTGTTGCTTATCACTATTGACTCACCATCACCCACTTCAGCAGCTTCTCACATACATGGAGTCCTTTTTTATTTTCTCCCTCACTTCTCTGCCAGCCTCCTTTATGTCCATCAACAGGACTGAGCCATCCTGCCCGCATTCTCCATTAGTTGTGAGTGGAGCAAACTTCCCTCTCTAGTTGCAAGAAGCTTCGGTGGCAGCCCCACCTTGCAGTATGTGGGGTAGTGAAATTTAACTCTCAAGACAGCTGGTTCTGACTAGGGATGCTAGATCGCATTAAATTTTAGCAGTTACATGACTATTCAATAGTCCCTGGCAGTGGGACCAGCAGCCAGTGAGCTCCTGGTCCCATCCCCAGAGACCCCACCAACCCTGCGCTGCTGCCTCTCTATCAGAGGCAGCAGCGTGGGGTGTCAGGTAGCTCTCCCACAAACTGGCTCCCACCTGCCACCCCATGCCTCTGATTTAAGAATGATTAGCCACACAGTGTCTTGTAAGATGGACATGTTAGTCATGAATATCACTGTGTGATGAATGCACAGGTTGTATATCGAATTATAGGGTGTGCTGGAAATATGTTCTTATAATATGGTTTGGTGCCAGTGAGTAAACAAGCCTGCCCTGACTGCCCAATTTAGTTACAGACAGAGGACAACGAAAGCACATTTACATATAAGGAAAACAAAGCAATCAAGCTAACAAACATCAGAGGATATATCTTGGTATTCACACTGGGGCCAACTCCAGAGTGTGAACTGCCAGGATATCTTCCTGGATGCAAAGACTTTGGAAAATATAAAGGGAGAAAAAGGAATTCTAGCTATCCATCACTTAGGGAACAAAGAAGACAGCACTCTCTGATTCTGTGAATACTGGATCCTCTTGCTGTTAGGACTAGTGATGCTGGAGGGCTAATGATGCTGGTAATTTGATGCAAGTGAGAAAGCTGTTTACTTTTTACTTTAACTGGAAACTAGAAAGTATGTTTTAGTTTGTTTTGCCTGTAACTTTGTATCTTAGTTGTGCTAAGTATCACTTCAATCGATGTTCTGTATTAATAAACATATTCTTACTTATATTTTGAATTACCTCTGCGTGACTATCTTGAAATAAAGTAAGAGTAACAGGGTACTGACATAAACCTCTCTGGTGAGCCTGAGAACTTGGTTCACTGATTGTTACCTGCAAGACAAGGTTAAGACTGGCAGAGTCTGGAGGCATTTGCTGGCGAGGAGGACAGATAGGTGTGGCAGGCAGCTGACGCACAGCCTAATTTTCAGCAAAGCTCATTTGCTTAGGCAGAGATGTAACACAGTGACTTATAATTCTGGGTATGTTTAGGAGAATGTCACTTTTGATCCTAAAATGTTGCTACTTACAAAAGATAGATGACATTAATCCTTCCAAAAGTTTGTTCAGTAAAATATCGCATGAGACTTATAATACCAGAAACATCATGTGATTCTGTTCTTCTGGTAGTGACCATTTCTGTATTTCCTCTTGCAGACTTTATTGCAGTCATTTTATACACTGTAGCAAATATAAAGAAAACGATGCTGTTATCTAATGTGAATGGCTTCTGCAATGACTTCAACCTTAAAGTTAGTCATTCTAGATGGGATTTTCAGAGACAAATGGAAGTTAGGCAGTTAAAGCCTCATGAAAAAATCAATCGGATTTAAGTGCCTAACTCTCACGAGCCCCTTCGAAAACACCAGGCTCAAATTGGATGTAGTAAAATGTTTAACACCTAAAATATTACTGTACAGTCAGGGAATTTTTTAAGTGGTCTACCACTCCATTAAACAGTTAGTAGGCATTTATATTGTGCTCATCATCATAGTAATATCTGTCGATTTCAACCTATTTGTTCAAAAAACATTTTTTTAAATCAACAACAATATTTACACTACAGGAGCAGTGGAAGGCTTTACAGGATAGCTTTAACTCAGATAATATAAATAATGCGAATATAAATCTCTTTTGCAGTTTGATGTGCAATGTGTTTGTAGTGTCCTTACCTATTTGATGATTTGCATACTTAACAGTTTCATAACATATGTGATATTACTTCAGTTCAACTGTGATTAACCAACAAAAAACTTGGTTAGCTTTTCATTCTGTTGCCACCTAATTTTTTAAAGTTGGCATGTGTACATACCAAGTACTATCAGAATTTTAGAAAACCCTTAAGCTTTAAAGGCATGCAAATGAACAGTTCAAATAGCATCAGAGTGCATAACTCATATGCGGGAATACAACGCTGCCCATTCAAAAAATACCAACCTTAACTATGCTCCTGATCCCCATCCAAATGCTAATTATAGACAAGAAAAGCTATAATACACATCCACCCTACAGTCATATATATTTCCAGTATCAGCTACAACCCCCGATAAACCAATATCACCCCAATTATAGCTCACACCCCCAATATAATATGGGTCAGAGATACCAACATATATTTTTATCTTCCCTATGTAGAATAGATACGAGCCCACCACAATTTCCCATTATGATCAAGAGGCCATATGCTCTCATATAGAATCCTAGGTCCCAGTCCTATAAGGGGTTTTATTTGCAGATCTCTGTACTTGCACTGAGACTAGTTTGTTTTATTGGAATTTCATTAATGTGGTTTTATGGGAAGAACTGCAGCGGCAGTGAAAAAAGCCTCTATATAAAACTATATTGCCTCTATATAAAACCATGGTATGTCCACATCTTGAATACTGCATACAGATGTGGTCCATCTAGCCCAGTATCCTGTCTGCTGACAGTGGCCAATACCACGTGCCTCAGAGGAAGGGAATCACAACAAGTTTTTCTTCATTCAGCGCACAATCTGTGGAACTCCTTGCCAGAGGATGTGGTGAAGGCTAGAACTTTAACAAGTTTAAAAAAAGAGCTAGACAGATTAATGGTGGTTAAGTCCATCAATGGCTATTAGCCAGGATGGGTAGGAATGGTGTCCCTAGCCTCTGTTTGTCTGGAAGTGGGAGACAGGAGAGGGATCACGTGAGGATTACCTGTTGTGATCCCTCCCTCTGGGGCATCTGGTATTGGCCACTGCCAGCAGACAGGATACTGGGCTAGATGGAACCCATCTGTACACAGTATTCAAGATGTGGGCATACCATGGTTTTATATAGAAGCAATAAGAAAATTTCTGTCTTATTCTCAAGGCTTGACAAGCGGCAGCGAGCCCCGCTCGCCAGCCGTGCGATTTGGCATGTTGTGCATGCGCAGACCACGCTACACATGTGCTGATCACGCTGTGTCGCCATGCCAGCTTAAAATCTACTCCCCCCAGGTGAGTAGATTGACTAATTTGTCGAGCCCCGCTTATTCTCTATCCCTTTTTTAATGGCTCCCAACATTTTACTTGCGTTTTTCACTGCTGCTGCACAGTGAGTGAAAGTTTTCAGAGAATTATCGACTTCAAGATCTTTCTCTTGAGTCGTTGTAGTCAAATTAGTCCCCATCATATTGTATATAGTTGGGATTACGTTTTCCAATGTGCATTACTTTACATTTATCAACATGACATTTCATTTGCCGTTTTGTTATCCAATCACTTAGTTTGGTGAGACCTTTTTGAAGCTCTTCACAGTCTGCTTTGGTCTTAACTATCTTGAGCAGTTTGGTATCATCTGCAAATTTTGCCACCTCACTGTTTACCCCTTTCTGGGTTTCCCAACCTGTACCTTGTGACCCAAATATGGGTTGCCATTACATTTTAAAAGGTTTGCCAAGTATCTCCCCAGGTGGCTCTGCCCCCCCCCTTCCTCCCTCCATTTTTGAATTGCCGTGGGTCATCAAGTCTTCCTGAATTGTCAAAATGGATCCTGATCTGGAAAAGGTTGGGAACTGCTAGATCATTTATAAATAAGTTGAATAGGATGGGTCCCAAGACCGAACTTTGGGGGACCCACACATGTTACCCCTCTCCACTCGAAAACTGACCATTTATTCCTACCCTTTGTTTCCTGTCTTTTAACCAGTTATCAGTCCACGAAAGGACCTTCCCTCTTATCCCATGACAACTTTCTTTTGAATCAAGTACCAGCCGTGGACATTCACCCAAAATACAGTTCACTGGTTCTAGTCTGACCCAGCGTGGCCGTTCTTACACTATGCAGCTACGGATTTATTTTCTCAAATAAGACCGTAAGAGCTGCTGGAGTTTTAGAAGGCCCACAGGCGTGGCCTCCCACCGAGCAATGGGGCGAGCAGGTTGGCCGCTGTGCCCCGCCCCAGTTGCGCCTGGCCCCGCTGCTGGAACTCATGGCGCAGCATTGGCCACGGCCAGCCCCGGGCCAAGGGGAGCTGCAGTTCTCGGGAAGGCCACCAGGGGGCAGCGCAGAGGAGGCGCTAGGACGAGCTCTCAAACGCGCTGCATGCTGGGAGCGGTAGGCGCCGTGCGGGAAGCGCGCGTTGCATGCTGGGAGATGTAGTC